GTCGGGCCCTCCCTGTGTCTGCTCCGAACAGCCCCGTGAGGGCTGCAAGTGGCTGCAGCAGGGAGCGCCAGCCACAGGGTGGGTGAGGGGCCGCTTTTCCCCAGGCTCAGTTTTTCCCCAGGCTCCTTCCCTGCCCACAGTCCTCCCCTGTCCTTCCCCGCCTTACTTGAGTTTCTGGTACTGGTGTAGCCACATGGTCCCAGGCCAGAAGCCCCTGCTGGGACTTCCAGCTGGGGGGTGGATCCAGGCAGGCCCTGCTGTTGTGGCAGCCCACTGGGCTTCCCCTGGCCCCCACTGTCCCTGGTTCATTTTTGACAGGAACCAAAGACAGGTAAATATTAATTTTCTAAGTTGATGGGGCACACCCAGACAGTGGTGGTGGATGGGTCATACTCGACCTGGAAGGATGTGAATAGTGGGGTCCCCCAGGGCTCGGTCCTGGGGCCTATGCTGTTCAACATCTTCATCAGCGACTTGGACGAGGGGGTGGAAAACACGTTGTCCAGGTTTGCTGATGACACCAAGATGTGGGGAGAGGTAGGCACGCTTGAAGGGAGAGAGAGGCTGCAATTAGATTTAGACAGACTACAGAAGTGGGCAGATGGTAATAGGATGGGCTTCAGTATGGATAAGTGCAGGGTGCTGCACCTGTGGAGAATGAATCCACAGCATACATACAAGCTGGGGGGCTTTCCCCTTGAGAGCACAGAGGTGGAAAGGGATCTTGGAGTCATTATTGACTCCAAGATGAACATGAGCCGCCAATGCCAGACCACAGTCAACAAAGCCAACCGCACCTTGTCATGCATCTAAAGATGCATCTCAAGCTGGTCCAGAGAGGTGATACTCCCCCTCTACGTGACATTGGTCCAGCCTCAATTGGAGTACTGCATCCAGTTCTGGGCACTGCACTTTAAGAAGGATGTGGCCTGCCTGGAGAGGGTCCAGAGGAGGGCCACCTGCTTGGTTTGAGGGCAACAGGGCAGGCCCTATGAGGAGAGGCTGAGGGACCTGAACCCGTTCAGCCTCAGCAAACGGAGGCTGAGGGGGGATTTGGTGGCTGCCTACAAACTCATTAGGTGAGATCAGCAGCAAATAGGATGGGTCCTATTCCCCCCAGCAGCACCTGGGGTGATGAGGAACAATGCCAGAAGCTGCTGGAGAATAGGTTCAGGTTAGAGATTAGGAGGCACTATTTCACTGTTAGGGTGGCTAGGATCTGGAACAAACTTCCTAGCAAAGTGGTCCTTGCTCCTACCTTGGGTAAATTCAAAAAAGAGGTTGGATGAACACCTGTCTGGGGTCATGTGTACTCCGGCCAGTTGCGGGGGGTCAGACTAGATGATCTATTTAGGTCCCTTCTGACCCATAACTACTATGAAACTGTGAAACTAAGTGTTTTAGAG